TCGGCTGCTTCGTTTTGCCCGTTTTGGCTGCCTGAGGACCGCGCACGAAACGAACTAAACCAGCCCTCCCCTGCGCTTGCGCTGCGAGCATCACAGCGCGCGAGTCTGCGGCAAAAGCACCTGGAAAACTGCTGTGGCGCTCCGCAGGTGGTGTCCGCGTTAGGACCCGCGCACGTGCTGCTTTTGAGATGGCGCGTCTTTTACAATACTTAAAAATAGTTCCCGGTGAAATGCTTTGAAACGCGTGTTGAAAGCATCCGAGCACGCGGGAGAACAGGATTTACGCCCAGAACCACACAGCCCGAGCCATGCCGTGCTCTGGGTAGCAAATGGAGATACCGCTTTAGTTCAGCCTACGAGGACGCGTTACACGAGATGGACGTACGGAGCCTTTCATGCTCCACTTTTCAGTCCTGAGTGCAGAGACCTTTCTGGTTTTCCCTATTTGAAAATCTGAATATGCTGTTCTATAATTCCACACAGCAGCACTGCAGCCTACACATAAATTAGTCTGAAAATTCATAGCATTGGGGCAAATTTTTAATTCCTTAAAAAGACTGCTGAAATGAGAGAAAGAGCGCACGGCATTGCTAATCGCAATAGGTTATTTCATTGTGCCAAAATCTTATCTTTATTATTATGCAAGTTAATTCTTTCTAGGATTTCCTGAAATTCCAAAATACCCAAGGCTTTGTGTTAAACTAATGAAAAGTTTACTGCCCTCCACAGTACCTCATCCTAATCCATTCACGCTCTGCTAACGACAGATGGATTCCAAATATCCTTATAATAATTTCCTGACCTCCCTTCTATCCCTTCTCTTCCTCTCCTTTAGTTGTTTTTATTCTCTCATCCTCTATTTGTTGTTTCCCAGTCACAATATCAACCATTTTATCTTCAAACTGAAATAAAGCCCAGAACTCAGCAGGCTTATCTACTTGCATCAGCCCTTCATCTCTAAATTCATGACATGCTCTATTTTCCTATCTCGCCCTTTTCTCCTCTGCGTGCTTTACACCGTCTCCTATTTCTTGGGCTCACTCGAACTCACTCTCGCCAAAGCATCTACAGTGTCTCCGCAGCCACACCACAGGAACAGCAGTACACCCATGCCCTCTTGAACTGCCAGCAGTCTCCCACAGAACTTTTTTTTGAAATCTTGGGCCACATAGCCTCAAAATAAAACAAACCCTGTGAGTAATTTCATTCTGATACAATTTGGAGATGTATTTTGTATCAGAAACATGTCCTGTTCTCCCGACTAAAAGGTTGATCTGTCTCTCCAAAGTCTTTCAGAGAATATCTAGCTGTCACATAAGACTCAAGATGACTAAACCTGTTGTTATCTTCCTCCTAAGGTCTCCCCGTTACTTATGCCTTCAGTAACCGTACAACCCATAACTTGGCAGGCTTCATTCTAGGCTTCTACAGCACCCCTGGGAATAAGAATCAAGTTATTTTTCTCTTTAATATGCTTCTCTTCCTATTTTTCATAAGCTAAATCCCTTTCCTCCCCCTGCCCGAGTTATTGCAGCAGCCTTTTCTCAGGCTCTGACAGGGACAGAAAATGCAGACCTGCAAAATAAGCTTCCTAGATCACAGCTCTGAATATATTATCTTTCCATCCCTCCAACTACCTGATCCTGCACACACCAGGAAGCTGGAATAGACGACCTCTCGAAGGCCTTTCCAACACAGTTTAAGTAATCCTATGACTGTCTCTTTTCGCGCCCACAGATTGGCCCTTGTGCTCCTGGGACTTCCAAGCTACCCTTCCCTACTTGTTACCCCTCGTTCAGCATTGAGAGGCTACCCTCAGCTCCTCTCAAACACTACTGGCAACTTTTATTCACTCTTTAAAGCTTCAATTCAACATGTTCATACTATTTCCCATACTTGCCTGACAGTTGGAAAGAGCTTCCTAGCAAGCAAGCAAGCATCATCTCTTTCTCCTCCCGTGTTTCTTACAGCTCCTTGCTGCGAGGTCTACAAAAATCTTGAAAAAATCTTTCCTTGTGCTCCTGGCTTTTGTCAAAGACTTCAAATGTAAGCTCCCTAGGAATGGCAATGATTTTTTGTTTGTTAATGAGTCTAGCGTAAGGGGACCCTGGTTCATGGTTGAAGTTTCTGAGACGTTATAATAATACAAATCATTACATTTCAAATACTTAATCCTGGAAGTGGGGTGTAACACCCAACCAAGGGTTACAATGGAATTACCTAGCTCATTGTCTTTATTATATGCAACAAACGTTTGCAGGATAAGCACAGTCTCTCTAACAGCCTTTCTAAGATCTAGTTTCAGTTGTTTGTATACAGATGATTAATTTATTGTCTCAAATAAATTTAAGCAAAGCAGACAGATTGAGGATTATGTTAAATGTGAGATGCTGCTGCACAGCAACACTAATGATTTTAAATCATTTTAAAATAATTTATATATTTGTTTTTTGTGTTTTGTTTTACCATTTCAAATCTGCGTGAAACTTGAGAAAGCCTGGCAATATCTTCAAGCTCCAGAAAGGAAATGATGTACAGGAGCAGCGGGACAGGAAGCTGTTCCAGGAAGTCATAGTTACCTCGGCACAGATTGAGGACGTGTTCCAGAACTTTGGCACCAAACACTATAGCAATCTGAACTGTGATAAAAAAAACAGACAACAAAAACAATAAACCCAAGAAACAACAGACTTGTAAAAGCCTGAAATTTCTTCCCAATAATCCCACATTATTCACACACACCTTAAAAAAAAAACCAGTGAAAAGTCAGCTCAATTTTTTTTAATGTTTTCTAGAGAAAATAACATACAATATCTTATACTGAACGCTAGTAATTTATAGTTTTTCAGTTAATCTTAAGAGTCACTAGTGACATCCAGGAAGCCTGAGCAGTAAAACAAGGCTTTCGTTAAAAAACTGTACATTGTCTAGCGTACAGCAAACTCTTGTCTCAGCTGAGGAACATTAAAACAGCAGCAAAGCTGAACTGAAACTTGTCCAGATGTATTTTGTCCACTTTTCCACATACATATATATTTATTTACATAAAGACGGTGCTATTTACTCAGGAGGAGGTTAATGAAACAACTGAAAAAATACTTCACTTGTATGCTTTGGGGAAAATAGTGATGGCGCTGACATTAACAGACCCTGTAGTTCTGCTTCTTATTTTATGTAGGTACAGTTAAACCACTAAAATGAAAGTGAAGACAGTTATCTTCTACAGTGACATGACATTTTTTGACTCATCCACCTTGTGATCCAGTACAATGCCAAATTCTTTTTCTACACCATACTTTTCTGCTACTTAGTGAGCTACTCCCCATCATACATCATACTCCCCATCCCTGCATTCATACAGTTGATTATTTCCACTTCAGTGTCCAACTTGGAACTTTAAGACTGTTTCTTCAGATCATTTATCTATTTTATCAAATCGCTTTAAAAAAATAATAGTTCATTAGAAAACAGGATCCTGAATTCAATTTGCTATACTTCTAATGAATGATCAGTGGTAAAGTTTGGAGCTGAATGTTGTTTTCGAAGATCTGATGATATGAATGCGGTCATCCAGATTTGTAAAGGACTTTTTTTTTTTTTCTTTCTTTCTTTCTTTCTTCTTTTGATATAGGGGCAAAATCAGAATTACTATTTTATGTATTATGAAATTCTAATGCATCCTAAGTGTGGCTTTTTGGTGTTGTGGGTTTGGGGAGTTTTTGTTTTGTTTTCTTAACCAACTAGAGTCTATCTTCTCATGTGTGTCAAAATTATGAAAAGAGAGAGAAACAGAATCATGGACGTTGAAACTATACTGACTATAGACGGTAAGTGCATCCAATTTTGATACAGCAGTTTTCCTTCCAGCATATTTTCTAAGATTAGTTACGAAACTCAAGCTTACGTGAATACATTTGAAAGAGCTTTCCAAATTACAAGATTTCACATTAAGATTTTTTCTTCTCTTTTTGCTCAAATATTCCTAAGGTAATTATGTAGAAAGAAGCTACTGCCTCGTGTTCCTTCATGTCTTTGGGTAGATGGCCCAATACTGTTCAAGCTTTCTTTTCTGTTGCTGTATCATACTGCAAGTGCAGTTTGCTGTTGGTTCTCATTTGCTTTTTTGCTTTCCAAGCCTCTCAGTTCTAAGTTCTATATAGTTGGTAATTTTCCTCAAATTCCTTATGCAAGCACAAAAATGATCTACACAGTCAACTAAAAATTGGCTGGCTGATCTAATTCAAGCTGATACGTAAGAATGATCCAAATCTTCACATACTAGGAATGACAATGATAATGTTTGTAGTGTGCATCTATTCCATGTTGATTAAGCAGGCTATCACATGAATATTTTCTGCTCCTTGAGTTTTTCTTGAAAATTATTTATTTCTAGAAATAATAATGTGACCTGGTTTGGCTATTTTAAAATATGTTTATCTGTATTTATCTTGCTTTATAAATGTATCTGCAGCTAATGATGAACTAACTGTGAAAGTATATTGAACTTCAAGTTTTCTGTGACATTTTTATCCTACGAATGCTAGATACCACTTGGTCACTTTTACTTTCATTCAACCAAAAATGTAAATAGACCTCTCTTCTCTTGCCCTACACTATCATAAATTAATTTTCCACCTTTGCAAACCCATAATGAAAATCTAGTCATATACAAAATCTTGCTCTTTCTTCTTGGCTCTATCAAGATGATGAGAAGAAACTAATGATACATTACTTCACTGTCCAAAAAGAAAAGAAAACATTTGAAAACAAACAAGGATGTTTACAGCTGTATGGTAGTTAATGTAAGTTTACTAAAATGTTAATATTTATTATAAAATATTTACTACTTCAGTTTTCTATTGGATGCTTCAAATGCCTGTATGCTATATTGATAACATGTTTCATTTGCAGGGGTACTATTCTGCCTATGCCCATTAGAAATAACGTAAGCACCCTTTTCTTTTTTTTTTAAATAAATTTTCTCTAAAAATCTCCAACCATGTGAAAACAGATAAAAACTTAGGAATGAGAACCAGGAGATAACAGGAAAAACTAATACTTTGCAATGGAGAAATATCCTCATTTGAGAAAAAAAAAAAATCAATAAGGATAACTAGAATATTATTCCAGGATATATATATTTGTGGAGAATTATGGGGGAAAAAAAACCCCAATCTGTGAATACTTAGGAGAACAGCAGCAAAGCTTCTCTAACAGGAGGCCAGAAGGAGGTGTGAAAACATCTGATTGTGTGGAACAGCAGAGGCTATGGACAGAAACAACATAAATATAACAATACAACTTTTCCCAAATGTAGTAATTTTATATTAGCAATACTTCTATTTATGTTAGCATTTTTCTGAAAACAAAACACTTTTATATTAAAATTTTACTAAAATCCAGAGGGAAAACCCCATGTATGATTTTAAAGACAATTTTAGAAGGAGGAAGAAATGACTAAATGTTAGGAAAGAATGGCAAATGTGGCTTTCAATACTTCCTATGGGATAGGAAACCTCTGAACCACCAATAACACTTTTCAAGAAAAAGCAAACAGATCCTGCTTGTAAGCTACTGAAAACACACAGGATATCAGTAGAAAACTGTATGTTAACAATAATTTAACTATTTGAATCATTGTACCCCAGTAATCTAAAACAGATGTTTTATTGTGACATTGTATTAATGTCAAATGCCACAGGAAAATCATACAGTATAAGCAATGAAGAAAAAACTCAAGCTAAAATCCTCATCATTATATATTTGCATATCAAATCTGCTCTATGAGGTAAATAAAAAAAAAATTTAAAATAAAACCACCGAAACTTAAATTGCTAAAGTTAAGCTATAAATTCTATGTAAATCTTGGCAAAAAGGTATAGAAGGCTACTTCTCTGAAAGCTCAAGTTTATAAAAATTGGTAATCGGTTTTGTCAAATTAAAATGTGGTGCAACTCTTTGCCTCAACTAATGGAGTGATTATAAATACCTACTGCAACAAAGCATAGCGTGTTTAAAAGCTCCCTGAGCACTAGCCAATTCAACAGGCAGTCCATATTCTATTGGGTCATGATACAGTCATTGCCCTTCTAGTCAAAACAAGTAGTAATAATGGGAATTAAGGATTTGTTTTGTTACAGACTGTGAGTGCTGACTGAAACTTTTGCCATTATATATTTGTGCATATATCCAGTCACCTGAGCTCAGCATTTGCAGCCTTTCCATCAACAGAGCATGAAGAGCAGTCACGTGCGACCTCCCTACCCAGCTGCCTAAGGAACTGTTATTATATCAGATGAATCACTTGAAATTGTTCTGTTGTGAAAGTTATAATGGGAACCAGAAATACAAACCTAAGCGTAGAAATGCAGACCACTAAGGCGCCAGGGCTAAAAGTCTCTTGATTGTGCTGTAGGAAGTGTTAGATTTTAATAAACAAAGCATAGGAAACCTGTGTTGGTCTTATTTCAGACCCTAAATGAAGATACACTCAAGGTTACACTTGAAAACAGGTACATTCTATTGAGGAAAGTTTTACCCTTTCCCCTACCCCCCGAGATTCTTCTTGGGAAAGCAAAACCTCCTCTGCCTAGATGTAAATAAGATGATGTCTACCAAAGCTTTTGATGAGGAAAACAGGACTTCATTTGGAAATGACATCTTTCAAGTTCATCATAAAAATAGGGCAAATATGAAATCATACCTGTAACTAAAGTTTTTATGTCTGTACATAATCAGAATACAAGAGCAGCTTATTAAAAAAAAAAAATCTCACCAAAGCAAGGTGTTTGGGTGCTACCTATTCTCTTGGACTACAAAAGCTTCAGATTTCAATCCAGTCCCTGCAGGTGCAGTAATGAAGTTCTCCATTTTCAGATCAGGCCATAGCTCAGACCTCAGCTCTTTGCTGCACTTGCTGAATTAATGTGTCTTTAGGTTAGTATTTTCGGGAGACTGTTTCCTCTGTGAGCCATGACCAACCATATCTTGTGACACAATATCTCTTAAAACTAATGCATTACTGAGAGCCAAAATTGTAAGAAGATGCAGAGCAATAACTACTTGGGGGACATAGTTTGGGAAAAAGCGTAATTATTTCCGATATCTGAGTGGCAAGTCTGTCAGAAACAGGTTGGAAAAGAGCTCTCTCAATCTTCATTTTGAGGTTTATTTAGTGGTATCCCCACTGCCTTTATTTTCTGGCTGTATGCTCCTAAAGTCTTGTTGCACTTGTATAGTCCCAAGTACCTGTTGCACTTGGTGTTACTTACGTTAAATCAGATTGGGAATCCAGGTGGTTCATGACATGGCCATAAAAACAAATGTGCTGGTACAGAGCATTATAAGATGGAGCTATAAGCAATAAAAAAATTGCTTCCTGGCCCATTTTTGTTGCTACTACCTCTGTCACTGTCTTATAATGAAACTATCAATGTTGCTGGGATTTATCCTGTATTTACATTTACTGTCATGTCTTTTTGTTTTTCTAGTATCCATACATTAATTTATATTAATAAATTCATACAAAAAAGCCTGTTAGCCAAAGCAATCACATCTTTCATCAAAGTTATTACAGATCAATATTGCTACATTATTCCATTATATGCCACAGCAAATTTGTAATTATTATTGTCATCTTACTATGAAGAGATGAATCATCCAAAAAATCCTGCCGGGATTCTTTAATTTCTCCAGGTCTTGATTCACGAAATTCATTCCTAAGTGAGATTTTCCACCACCTGAAAATTACCTACAATTGTGGAAGAAGAAAAAGGGAAAGAAAAAGAAGAAATTAATATCAAGCACCATGAGATATACACATTGCTAAAATTCAGGACTCCAGTTATGTAAATATTGCTGCAGCCCCAAAACAAAGTTATTATAAGAGATCCGACCATGGTTACATTACCCGTGGCCCTACAACATGCTTCAGAGGACAAAAGACATCCCAAAATGCACCTAGACAAGTGTGAAATATTTTTACGTACATACAGAGAAAATGTTCCCAATCCCTGCGTGCAAACTGTTTGTAGAAATTAAAACACGTTTAATGACATCTCAACTTGCAAAACTATAAGCATTCTCTTTTTGTTTTTCATTTAGCCACAGAAACACAATTCATCGGGCATTAAATTACGTGGTTAAGTAGAAATACCCATTCAAAATCAAAATTAACAGCTCAGCACTCAGACTGTCCGAAGACTCTGGAAAAAGCTCTCCAGAAGTACACATTCAACTCACATTTTCAGAGTCAGAAAAAGAAAAGAAAGCCCGCGTTACAAAGCATGCAACTGAGACAAAAGATTAATGCGAACAGTAAATTATGTAGCTATGAAATGACGGAGGACCAGTGGCCCTGGCTATCAGTAATTTTTCCAGCGTTCTCTTAAAACATTACATATGTGCTTGAACACTGTGTCAGCTTTTAATATCGACTTCTGTTTGGTTGCTGTCAAAGCCGAGTCTACAGGAGAGGAAAGCTGTAATCGTGTCCCTTCCTTCACACAAGTTATTAATCATACATTAATAAATACTTTTCAGTCTGGGATATACAGTACAATATAGTTAAGTGTATACAGACAGCAGATGCTCACCCAAATTCTGCACTGGTGTAAGCAAGATGAACTTTTCACAGTAAGTATTCTATGTATTTTTTCTTTAGTATTTTGTGGGTATGAGTGTATTTATCTATAGTATGTTTACATATACACAGGTGTACAAGAACATACTTAATCCAAACACTGCAGTGTGCATATATGTCTACAGACTCTTGGCTTACACAAGCCAACCAACCCTAAAATGGAACACTAAGTTAATATTCTACAAATTAAATACCTCTCTCCTATTTTTAAAGCAATTACAGTAGATGTTTTAACATGGCTATAAGGATTTACTTTCTTGTAGTACGACTGTATAATTATAAATTCCAAAGCATTTTAATACTAATTGAAACACGCCAAAACTTCAAAAAATTACAGAAACACATATTTCAATAATATCTCCTCTTCTTAATTGTTATACTAGGAAGCACACCGCAGCAGAACTATCTGCCAGAATGGGAAGATCAGTGCGACACGCAGAGGCACGGAAAAGGTAAAATATTCAAGTAGTTACGTTAAATGCCACTGTGTATTTTCCAGACATTATTCCTTGATTTACTGTGGAACAAGCTGTCAATAGCACTATTCCATTTAAAAATTTCCTTACGTACAAATACCCAGGACAAACTACGGTTACCTTGGTGATTTGCTAGCACATGGTTATTTCAAAGAAAAATATTGCATAGATTTTGTAATACCTATACTTTTTGCATAGATTAAAAAGATGAAGAATGGAAAGTATTGTAAGTACATCCTGGTTAACATGGATACATTTCATTCTCGACAACATTTAGAGGTGCAAGTGTTAAAGGAATTCACTACCACATTGCTTACTCCACTGGCATTGCTTCATGAAAAAAAGAGAGAAGAGGAAAGGATGAGCAGAAGCAAATCTAAACAGCAGCACCCAGCCGAGGCTTTGGATAAAAAGTCATAGCAATTTAAACAAACAAAAAAACCCCTAAAATGTTTAAGTGAAAATTAGGAACAAATAAATTATTTAGGAAGTATCATCAAAATTAATCTGGACTGTACATTAGCAGAAGCATAGTACTATTTACATTGCATGAAGAAAAAAATATTTGAAGTTTGTCATATGGTAAGCCATCTTTTAACGATGCTGGTCTCAACCTTCCCTTAATTTAATCTATTTTGGAAGTTATACAACTAAGAGACAAGTCTCCCATGACAGACTCATGCTGTGTAATGAGAAACCTCTGGGGGAAGCTGAAGACAGACAGTGCGACTTGTCATAAAGGCCCATATGAGAAACTGTTTCCTTCTCCAATATACATTTTTTAGGATTTCAAACTTCTCCAGACTCAGCTTTCTGCTTTGCTTAAAACTAGTAACTCAAAATATAATTTCTCAGATTACAGGTTATTTGGAGATTCATTTTCCCTATTTTTCTCTTAAATTATTCTACTTTAAATAGTTAAACATTCATTGGAGGAGGAAGGAGACTCCAGAGTCTAGAAAATAGCGCTTGCTGAGATTTAGGAGATCTGGATTCAAATATTTTCCTCTGTCCCAGGTGAATGGCCTAAATCCCCAGTCTTTCTTTTTGGCCTTGTATTTGTCACTGCCGTCCAAGCTCTCATTCCCCTGTGCAGTGAAGGAGCCATTATGTCTTCTACTGGAAAAAGCACTCGCATTTCTCAGTTAGTCTTAAGTGACTTGACCTCTGCTAAATCATTTCTCCCAGGCTGTTTTATCCCATGTTCTACTACTTTTCCACAGATTAAAAAGAAAATAATCTCTGCTTTTGGCTGGGTTTTGTAGATTGGAAGAGACTATAAAAATTCATGTTGCCTTATTACTTTATTTCAAAATTAGAGTATTCAAATGCTTCTGTCCCTCATTTATCTCATTTTATCTTGCAGAATATTGCTGCATTTTTGCCACAATTTCAAATAAATCTATTATTTTTAAATCATTCCATTTTCATGTACCTCAGTATAGAAATCACCCATTTCACCCTCACATAAATCTTTACAAAAGTGGAATAAATATCAACATTACCGAAACATCTTCAAGGAGCTAACACATGTTTCTAAAGCCACGATCTCTATACCTAAATATCTTTCAGTTAACTGATCGCTTGAAGCCAGTATCAGTTAATCTGTTGCCTAAGAGTTTGTAAACCTAAGCTCAATTTCCAAGCCATGAAGAAGTCAAATGCCTTCATTAAATATATATATTTTTTTAATTCTAAAATTAATTAGCATAGTGAAAACTACCAGCTTACCTGCTTCCTTCACCTTTCCAGCCCCTGTTAGTGTAGGTGCAATCTACTTATGAAAAAGCACTCCTCCTGTTGTAGCTTTTTCTACTCGTATTCTAAGATAGCTGCAGCTAACTGCGAAGCTGATGCTATAGTACTGTAAAGTTTTTCACACAGTTGCAGCTACGTTCACCCTACAGCTTTGACTGCAGAAGTAATAAAGGAAAATTTTAATAGGACAATGAAATCTTTAGGCTTAGACTGAGCTATGCTTGTTTTGCAGGTGACTGAAGCTTAGGCTTCTACGTAATTTTAAAAAATGTAGAATAGATACCTTAAAATTTTACTCACTTTTCACCAAGAGGCAGCAACCATGTACTAGATCTAAACTATGAAACCAAGTAGCAACAACAATGCACAGGTATTTGCAAAAGAACCAAAATAAAATGTTAAATAACTTTATAAAGAGCTAGAGTGAGGCTATCCTTCTGCATCGACACCGATGCAGCGAAGGCAAAGGCTATTTTGATCCCTGTGGGATAAGCTGTTGAAGAACGGTAACACACATGGGCAATTGTTGCACGTAAGGCTACTAATGGCATATCGTGATTAACTTAGAAGCAAGAATGCAGATCTTGTGGAACTGAAGAATCTGTTAAGTCTCTTTTTCTCCTCCTGCCTCCAACACCAGTTACATTCTTGGCAATGACAAGATACCCTTTGTTTAAATAATATTCCCGCTGTGCCTCCGTGCCTGTGTGTTGCTTGTTATGCTGTATCTCACAAGACGTTGTGAAACAGTTAAAGAAATCGATAGTTACAGAGGTGACATTTCACAAATATTACCACTATTCATACCATGATCTTGGCACAGTTACACAGCAACTTTTTTTCTAATAATTTCTTCACTGTCTCTGCACAAAAGAAAATGGCAGTCGCTCTCACATTTAAGTTAGTTAATGATGGCTATGCAAAAATCTTGCACAAATTAAGAAGGTCTTTGCCAGTTTTATGAAATTCCATCAGCCTCTCAAGCTGTGAACACCAAGGTTTCTCTTTTGCAGCCTACTAAATTTTTCAGAGCCTTGCTATCATGTTGTATGGAGCTTTTTGGCAAGTATGGCCACCTGAGGACACTTACCTGAAGGCCCAAACTTTTGCCCAACCATGCTTCTATAACATGAATGGATATAAGGTAAATGCTCAGTTGGCTATTTCAGTCCTTTGTAAAAAGAATACAGAGAAGAGCCAGCAGAGGATGAGGATGTATGGCCTACTGTACACCATCATTACCTCACGGCGTTTAGCTTGACCTAGAGCGTAAAAAGAATTCACAGGCAATTTATCATCCGTCGGGAAAAGCAGTTATTTCCAGCATCCTTATTCCATGTAAGAGCGAGACTGAAAAAAGCCCCCAAACCAAACAAAACTCTGAATATATGTTTTTAAGTCTGCCTTATTTTGGAGATTTTGGGTTGCTGTAATAAACATCAGAACTGAAACGCAGTTGTAATCAGTCATTACTATTGAAGATGGATATCTTCCAGCTTTATCTTCCAAGTAACAACAGAAAAACAGCTTAATTTTATAATCAGGCTTTAAGATCATAAACATGAATAGTTTAATAGAGGACAAAATGCTGCAAAACTACTGCTAAAATATTTCTCTAAACACTTTAGATAAAGCAAAAAATACTGTTTGCACTAAACTATTAGCTCCACATCATACAACTTCACCAGTACTACCCCGAATCTGATTAACGCTCATAACTGATATACTATAGAAGACTTCTTATAACACATTGTGGCTTTACATCAGTTTCCTTAACCTGATCATTCAGCTATTACAGAGTTTAAAAAATGAATTATGTTTTAATGGACAAACTGGTGATTCTTGTAAGATGTTAAGAGAAAAAATAATACTGTA